GCCAAAGGCTTCAGTTGCACATCTGATACGATGCTGAATCTCTTCATGGATGTCTGCAGCGGTGGACAGGTGGAAGCCGAGATCCTGAAAGTGGGTAACATTAGAGAGGGTAGTACCGTTAAGCTGGATGGATGGTGGAGGTGTGGCTGAACCAGGGGCTGGCTGAAAGAGAATCTGAGTCTTACGTACATTCATCTCAAGGCCGAAGTGTGCATATGCATCTGTGTAGGTGTTCAGGATCTCCTGTAGGTTGCATTCAGTGTGAGCAACAAGAGTGAGGTCGTCTGCATACTGAAGTTCAGTAATGGAAGCTGCCGACACCTTTGTTTCTGCCTGGAGTTGTCTTATGTTGAGAAGACCCTTCATCCAGCACTCAATATCCACCCCACCAGCTAAATTGGCACTGGCGCGAGTAAGGAAGGCAGCCAAGAAAATGGAAAAGAGAGTTGGTGCCAGTACACATCCTTGTTTTACCCCGTTTGGATGGGAAAGAACTCAGACTGGGTACCATTGTGCAGGACACTGCCGTTCATGCCATCGTGGAGTTGCCTCACAATAACAATGAATTTTGGTAGGCAGCCAAAACGGCTGAGGGTCCGCCAGAGGGCTTCCCTGTTGACCGAGTCAAAGGCCTTGGTTAGGTCGATGAAAGCCGTGTACAGGTCACGATACTGTTCTCTGCACTTTTCCTGTATCTGACTGGCAGCAAAGATCATGTCAGTGGTGCCATGTGATAGGTCTAAAGACACATTGAGATTCTGGGAGGAAGTTTTCCACCCCGGAATTAGTCTGTTTAGGAGGACTTGGGCGATAATCTTGCCAGCTACGGACAGAGTGAGATACGGTGGTTCCCACAGTCTAACCGTCTCTCTTGTTCTTATGAATATTGATGATGGAGGCGTCTTTAAGAGCTTGGGGGATTTCCTTCTTTTCCCATATATTCTCCAGGAGAGAGTGGAGATGGCTGGTAAGCAGAGGTCCTCCTGCTTTATACACCTCAACTGCGATTCCATCAGGCCCTGAGGCTTTGTTATTTTTCATCTGTTTGATGACAGTAGCTACCTCACCCAGGAATGAAGGATAGCTGAGATGGGTCAGCTTTGGATGCTGAGGGACCTACTGGGTAGTCAGGACATCCACATCAGTGTTTCGGTTGAGCAGCGAATGGTAGTGCTCTTTCCAGCTGAAGGAGGTCTTCATTGTCTTTAATTATGGAGTTAGTGTTGGATGAGCGGAGGGGGGCTTTGCCATGAGTGATTGGCCTATAAAATGTTTTAGTTGAATTTAAAAATTCACGCATCTTTTGCTGATCTGCAAATTTTTGTGTTTCGCATGCTTTATTTTTAAACCAGTCGTCCTTTAGACTGCAAAGTTCACGCTGCGCCATGGCATCAGCTTTGGTCTGAGACTGAGGGTTGTTCTGCCAGTCAGTTAAATCAGCATGTTTATCATTGACGAGTACATTGATTTTCGGGTCATTTCCACCAAACCAGTCCTGGTGTATTCTTTTGATCTGGCCGATGGTCTTTGCAGGTTTTTGTTATGGCAGTGTTGAGAATATCCCATTCGACACTGGGATTTGGGTTGTTTGTTGTCGGGTTGTTTATCAGCCCATGTTCGAGCTGCTCTTTGAAAGTATGTGCTACCCCTGGATCTTCCAGACACTTAGTGTTAAAACCTCTTCTGGAGGCTTGCTGCCTTTGCCGTTTTGGGGTGATGTGAAGTGAGAGCTTGGCTCTGACGAGCCGATGATCAGCGTTGCAGTGATCTGAGCCACACATGGCTTGGGTGATGAGGACATCTCGGCGATCTCTTTCTCTGACAATGATGTAGTCAATGAGATGCCAGTGTTTGGATCGTGGGTGTTACCACGAACCCTTGAACTTGTCGGCCTGCCTAAACAAGGTATTGATGATAGTGAGGCTGTGTGCAGCACACTTGCTGAGGAGGAGTAGGCCGTCGGGATTACACTTGCCTAGTCCATTTCTCCCTATGGTTCCCTGCCAAATGTCAACATCTCTGCCAACTCTGGCACTGAAGTCACCAAGGAGCACAACCTTATCTTCTCTGGGGATAGAGGCTAGAACTCTGTCAAGATCAGCGTATAAGGCCTCCTTGATGTCATCCTCTGCATCCAGTGTTGGGGCGTATGCACTGATGAAAAAGGCATGAAGTGAGTGGTTCAGTGGGACTCTGAGTATCATGAGGTGCTCGTTGATCCCAATAGGATGCGTTGGCGGATGACAAAGCAAACTCCATAAATACGGTTTCTCTCTGCAGAAGGCTTACCCTTCCAGATAAAGGCATAGCCAGACCCCCATTCTGTGAGTCGTCCCTCGTCTGGGAGCTGGGACTCACTAATGGCTGCTATGTCGATGTTATATCTAACCAGCCTTTTTGCCAGAAGGATCCTGACATTCCATGCAGTGACCATAAGAGGTTGCATAGTTTGTTTTTGTTTTGATCTGTGATTATGATTGTGTGCTTGACCTCATAAGGATGACCTTACTGGGTGTGGTTGCCCAGTCAGTTTGGCTCTTTAGGCAGGCTATGTTTAGGGCACCTTTTCTAGACCCCTCCCCATATGGGGTGAGTAGAGTGGCTCCTTGAAAGGGCTGCTCAGTCACACAGACAGGACCGGATTGCACTGCTGCCTAGATCCCAGTGCATAAACGACCACCTTTTCTATGCCACCCATGTGTAGAGTTGTGACTAGAGACTCCCGGCAGTCATCTCTGCCTGTCCCCGTCGCCACTTGTCAGTCGCCATAGGACTTTTGGAGGTATAGGGGTTTTGATGATGATGAGGAGTATGATGAGCTGGATGATGGCTGCGCGTGAGTTGATGTATGTAGTGAGGCAGGAGCGCAAGCTGCAACAATACATCTTGGCTCTCCCTTTTCCTGATCCAGTGGTGCAAGTGTTGCAACAACTGGGGAGAGGGAGAGTTGCAATGGACTGCCAATAGTCCAGTTTGTTGGGTTTTGCCTTAGTAGCCTGACCACCAGGCATTGCCATTGTCCACCAGTGTAGTCGTTGGGTTCCCATGGTGGTCACCTGTTCCGCCTATACCACCGTTGGGGTCTTGTTGGAGCTCTGTTAGCATGTCTGCCTGATGTGGGGCTCCACTGCAGATTTTTCGTTCACGGTTTTCTTACATAGCCTTATACCTACTAAGGTTAATCCCCCAAGGCAGCGGGGCAGTGATTGGTTGCACCAGGATGTGTCCACATGCCAGTGGGTCTATGCGCCGTCCCTCTGGGGCCCACTGCTTCTCTGAGATCCCCTGCTGGTCTAGCCTGGGCCCACGAGGCACCCAGTTACCATGTGTTGCCCCAAGGAGGCACAGCAGGAGTTTTGATGGTGAAGAGGCTGTGTACTGGTAGGGAAGACTTATGCAAGTTGCTTCCTTGTTCGCTACGCGGGCTAGCGAGCGGCAATAGCTGAAAGCAAGAGGGAGCAAGCAGTGCTTGTACCTTAACACTAACATAATGCTACCACACTAGACGCATTATACCACCCTGTCTGCACACACATGTGTATACTGTGACTGATAGCACACACCTAGTTATCCCACTGTTCCTACTTTCCAGTAAGACAGTAACTTGATTAATTCAGGAGCTAGAATATCTGTTGCATTGTCCGTTTAAAACAATATACAGGGTACTGTACAGTTAAAACACACAAAAATTAATAAGTACTATACTGGGTTTTCCCCAAAATTTTGGGGTAAAAAATTGCCTGAAAAACTCAATAATACCCATTTTTTAGGGGGTGGGGGGGGGGGAGGGCCTCCTATGTCTATGATCCTCAATGTATGGTTATAATAATGGGTTGATACATCCCATTTTATAACTGAGTCAGGATCGAGATGCTGAATCGTCATCCCCCTTAGGGTGGTGACATGAGCTGGATATAAAGTGATGAGCCTGATGTCATCACCTTTTTAACCAATGTGAAATAAATATTGTTCATGGGATTATGCTTCTCAGCAAAAACTCTTCAGCTTTCTCCCTTTTTAGAGTACAGTACATATATGTCACTGCATATCTTGGGGCCCTGCTGCCTGGGGATTCAACCCCTAGACTTACTGGTTATTCTAGGCTGCACAATCTTGTCCTGACCATAATTGGATCCACAATCAATCCACAATTTTTCACTCATTTTGTGTTATTATAGAAATTGTCTGGCATTATTAAATCTTGGACTGTAAATTCATCACCTCGAGTCATTTTCCAGTGTTTTATAAGATTAGCCTCCAAATATCAGAATTAATTTATTTGAGACTACTTTTTACATTAATTTAATGATATATCAGCTTCATTCAGTATACAGGGGTAGTTTCTCCTTTTCTAACATACATCTTGAAGCCAGGCACTTGTAGTAATAGGGCTTATCTTGGGTATCTGGGTCATTATTCTCACCCTTATCAGGAAGTGTCTCCACTTGGAGATCAGGAGCAAAGGTTGCCCTGAAGAGGTGAGAAGCACTCGAGTACTAAGTTTATCCAACTATCAAGCATTATGCTAAGGTATTGGTCCCCCCACTCAGTTTCTATTCAGCTTGCCACTTTGGAATTCTCTTCCCAGCTGGCCATCAGTGAGAGTGGGTATCTCCTGTTCAGCTTTCCCTCAGTCTGCTTGTTATACAAACCTAAGTGTCAGACCCCATTGTGACACATTAAGGATAGTTGGCAGCTTATACAGGCATCCCCCAGGTTATGGAATTGTTCCGTTCTTGAAAATGTTTCCACATCACAAAATTCCATGTCGCAAAACCATTTTTTCCATTGACTCCCATTATATAAGTTGAGATGCGTTCCTACAGAAATTTTTTGTGGCCCAAAATCGTGACTCAAGCACATTGGTGAATGAAAATATTCAGTTTTAAATACCTACAATGAGTCAATCATGATGAAACATGATAAGAAATGCGCAAAACACTCGAAATTCACTTACCAGAAATGATGTTGAGTGCTGAGTGAGGTGAGGTGGTGCAATTGGAGTTACTGGGAGGGAGACGGAGAGTCACTGCTGACTTCCGCCTCTCCCTGTGGATCATCATCATCATCTTCATTTGCTGCTGGCTGTGGTCTTGGGGCAAAGAACTTGCCTAAAGTGGTCTGTCGTTGACGGCACAGTTTTGAGTGTACAGCTCCTTGTAGCCAGACATCAGGTTCTCCAGTCCTCTGCAAATTTGAGGCTACTGTCACAATCTGGATCGTTAGTCTCAAAGTTTTGCACCAGTTCTTCCATTAGACTAATCCCTTTAGCCAAAACCTTTGTTGTCAATTCATGGCTGTAGTTGGAATTTCTATATCCTCCCCTTCCTCACCAGCAGCTCCCTCCTGTTCCATCAACAACAGATCTTCATTTGACAAATCCTCTCTGTGTGTTTCCAACAACTCAACCACACCATCGTGATCCACGTCCTTGAACCGTGCACCATTTTCCAGAGTTATTATTTCTTGTTGCACCTCATTCAAGGTTTGAACCTGGGAAAAACCTTGAAAATCGTGGATGCAGTCTGGCCAGATGTTCTTCCACTCACCATTCATTGTTGTACATTTCACCTCATCCCATGACTCAGCAATGTTTTCTACAGCATTCATGATGTTACACTTCTTCCAAATATCTCTTACTTATTGTTGTTCCTCCCCATCAACTGCAGCTATAATTTGTTTGAATGTTCTATGTAAATAGTAGGCCTCAAAACTGGCAATCATACCTTGATCCATAGGCTGTAGCAATGCAGTTGTGTTCTTTGGCAGGTATGAAACTCTAACATTACTAGAAAAATCATTAAGGTTAATTGGGTGGCTGGGAGCATTATCTAACAGTAACTAGGCCTTGTTGGAAATATTTCTGCTGTTACTGTACCTTTCCACTACTGGACAAAAACAGTTTATGAACCAATCTTGGAAGAGGCTGGCTGGCAGTCATCCATGCCTTCTTATTAGAATGCTATATCACTGGTAACTTAGGTTTGGCATAGCCCTTGATAGCCATTAGATTTTCAGAGTGGTACACAATCATGGGCTTTAACTTCATATCTCCAGCAGCATTGCATTCTCAACAGAGGTGTTAGACGATCCTTTGAAGCCTTGAATTCTGGAGCAGTCTTCTCTTCAGTTGAAATAAATGTCCTGGTTGGCATGCACTTCCAGAACAGGCCTGTTTCATCAATATTGTACACTTTTATACTTCAATAATTGCCTTTAGTTCTGCTGAGTATTGCTTTGTCAGTATTAGCACTGACTGCTTCACCTGCCATCTTAATGTTATATAGGTTTAGGCATTTCTTAAACCATTCAAATCAACCTTTGTTGACATTAACAGGTTTTGTATCAGGACTTGCACCTTGTTCCTTTACCAAATCTTCATACAGAATCTTCACATTTTGATTGGTTTTGGCTCTTACTCCACACACTCAGTGAGCGTTCCATACTTATCATCACATCACTGTGATGGAAATACAGAGTACAGGCAGTTAAAGGAGTAGCAACTTTAGCACTAGTTTAATTTTGTCTCTATTATCTTGGATTGCTCAATGTTTTGGCAATGTAACTGAGTTTTTCTCCTTCATCAAACCTTCTTAACCCATCTAATTTTGTTTTCAATTTAATTCCTTTTCGTAGTCTCTTACCACCACTGCTAGCACTTGCACTTGATGACCTCTTATCACTCATCTTGAATAAGAATACACAGTAATACAGTCCTGAACACAGAGGCAAACCTGAACACAGGCTGGAGACTGAATTCAAACTGACCGAAACCATCATTGTTGTTGTGGGGCAGCAACCGTCTTGTGGGTACCAAAATTCCAAACGAGTGAGTTTTTTGTCTGTATGGGGAATTTTGGGGTCATAATTTCAAAATTCCATAAGCGCGAATTTCCATAACCCGGTACTCCATATTGCAGGGGATGCCTGTACCATAGATCTAGGTGTCATTCAAAGAAGACTGGTCTCATGTCTTTCTTTGTTTGTTTAGTCAAATATGTTTTGATTTCTTACTGATCCTTCCAAGTCCAGGTTACCTATTTACTGGTCTCAGGCTTGCTGACTTACCTGTCACAGTGTCACACACACACACGCATGCATGCACAGAGAGAGAGAGAGAGAGTGTAGGCCTCAGCTTCTCCTGGCGTGGAATGACTTATGAGCATGGGATCATCATGTGGTGGCTGGTAGTTTGAGAGGCTCATTGGCCAACTCTCATTTAGGTGTAGGCCTGCAAGTTTAATTTCTCACTGCATATGTCTTGGGGGAGGATTTGACATGTTTACTCTTGATTTTGTTAATACATGAACCCTTTAGGGGCCTTCAGATTAACTCATATAAGTAGGGTCAGTCAGTGAAATGAATATTACTACTGTATATATAATGGGAGGGTTACAGCCATTGTGTGATGACAGTAAGATAGACTCAGCTCTAGAGGGCCTCCTGCCTCTCATCTCCAGGGCAGCCTTTGGTATCCTGCAGTGGAGACACTGGGTGTGACAGGGAGGTGATCAAATTATAAAATACTGTATTTATAATCAATTAACTTTACTACCATATAAGGGTATAGTCAATGACCTAGACAACCCAAATAAGGCAAGTGTCTGTACAAGTGTTACCTGGCTGTGGGCTTTGCTTGTAAGTAGAATACAGTACAGTGCCCCCTATATCAAGATCAATCCTTCACTTCTTCAGCTGGTAGTAGTGTCTCTCTCCAAAAACATACTACAGTGGTCCCTTGGTTAACGAGCACAATCTGTTCCAGCAGGTTGCTCGTTTACCGAAAATCTCGTTAACCGAAACCATTGTTTCAATGGGTTTTTGGGTAATTGGTTCCAGCTCACTAAAAATTGCCTAAATTCAACAAAAATTTTAGAAATGGACACTTACCTTGAGGTGTGTATTTAGAAGGCTCCTGGATGATGATGCTGATGTGAATTTGAAGTGGGAGGTGGAGGAGGAGAAGGGAGAAGAGAAGGAAGTGGAAGTGGAGGAGAAGCATTTTACTGCTTCTTGGAAGGTGAGTCACCTTCCATGAAAATGTCAGGAACCTCTGGACTGACAGATTCTCCACCATGAACATCCTCTCTCCTTCTTGAAGTGGAAGGTTGAGGGCTAGCATCATCCTCTCTCCTTCTTGAAGTGGAAGGCAGAGGGATAGCATCTTGTTCCCTCTGCCTTTTACTGAAGAAAGTGTCAATTGTGGTCTGTGGGACATCTCTCCTCCTCACCATTAACTTATGTTTAAAGAAGGAGACCATTGAGTCCTCGACATGACACAAAGTTAGTTCAGTTTTTTCCACATCTGGGTGCTTTGAAGCCAGTTCCCTGAACTTCTCCCAGTGGTAAATCACATCTTTCAACTCTTTAGCTGACATATGGTCACCACTTTCAATTTCCTCCTCACCACTGTCAGCCTCTACCTGTAACATCTCATGCAGTTGCTTCAAGTCATCAGGAGTAAGTTCCTCCTCATGAGACATCACAAGCTCTTCCACATCCTCCTCCTCCACTTCAAGGCCCAATGACTGACCAATGGACACAATCTCCTGGTCCAACTCTGTTTCTTCCTCAAATCCCTCAAAATCATGGACTACTGATGGCCACAGTGCTTTCCATGAAGAATTGAGGGATCTAGTGGAGACCTCTTGCCATGATGACACAATCAATTTTACAGCCTCCAGGATGTTGAATTGTGTCTTCCAGAACTGTTTCAGTGTTAGTTCAGGATCATTGGAAGTTGCCTGATAACACCTCCTGAACATTTTCTTCATGTACAGCTTCTTGAAGTTGCTGATCACATTCTGGTCCATTGGCTGTATGATTGATGTAGTGTTGGGAGGCAAAAACAACACTTTCACAAAGTCAAATTGATACTCCAAATTTCTGGCAAGGTCAGGGTCATGACTAGGAGCATTATCCATGAGGAGAGGAGCCTTTAAAGGGGGTTTATTGGTGGTTAGGTAGCTCTTGACAGAAGGGCAAAACACATCAACAGCCCATTCATTAAAGAGCTGTCTTGTCACCCATGCCTTACGATTGGACTTCCAATAAACTCCAAGCTTTGTTCTTACCACTTTCTGTTGCTTGAACACCCTGGGGTTTTCAGAGTGGTAGACAAGCATAGGCTTCAGTCGGAAATCCCCTGAAGCATTGGCACCAAGCAATAGAGTGAGACGGTCTTTCATGGGTTTATGCCCAGGTAAAGAGGCTTCATCTTTGGTGATGAATGTTCTTTTGGGCATCTTTTTCCAGAACAGCCCAGTTTCGTCCACTTGCTGTGGAAGATAATTTTCTTCTTCCATCAGTTGTTTAAATTCCACTAAAAACTTTGCTGCCCCTTCCTTATCAGCACTAGCAGCTTCACCATGCCTAACAACACTGAGAATGTCACTTCTTTCCTTAAATTTTTCGAATCAGCCTTTGCTGGCCCGAAAATCTTCAATTCTGTGCCTGAAGAACCAGGTTGATCTGTCTTTAAATGTTCGTAAATCTCCCTGGCTCTTTCACAAATGAATTCAGTAGAAACTGAATCACCTTTCATCTGTTTTTCCCTAATCCAGATGAGAAGTAACCTCTCAGTTTCTGCAATTAGGGATTAATTTTAAACACTGGTAGATTTGTCTCTCACTTTCACTTCTTTAAATTTGTCTTTCTGTGCAAGAATTGTCGACACAGTTGATGTCGACATGCCATATTCTTTGCATAGCGCATTTGTTCTAATGCCTTGTTCATGTTTTTTTATAATTTCCTGCTTGGTTTGGATTGAAATCGCTTTTCTTGATCACTTAGGCCCCATGCTGGATTCAAACAATGTCAACACGTGATCTTTTAGGTATAAACTTGCTGTAAATATAGAATATTTTCTTTAAAATAACACTGCACTGCGCTATATATTGTCAATATGTAAAATAAATTTCAAAATAACCAATAATTTGCTTGGAAACACAGAAAAAAAGCGTTAAGTTGAAGAGAGTCTCAAGCAAGATGTTACCTCCACTGAAAACAGAGAGAGACTACCGGTAACGCTTGTTTGCTGTGTTAAGAGGCTGGATGGCGTGCATAAAACTAGTCACTTTACCTTCAATTATGTTCAATAATTGTTAAAATGACTAAAAAATTTAATATTGAACTTTTAAAATTATTGAATAGTATAAACTTCTTGATATTTACTAAAATAGTAAGGAATTTAAGACCTAGAACCGATTACTGTAATGGCGG